TAAAGGGTCACGCAAGGAGAGTTATGAAATGAAAATTCAATTTTTTGTTATATCTAAATGGGTTAAACAAGAGGGTTAATCCTTTTTTTTTTTTTAATTCCTTTTCGTTTGATTTAATATTTAAATTTAAGATCTTTAACTTAAAATTTTAAATTTTTAATCATTAAATCATTCCATTAAAATTATGAAAATCCTTTTTGAAAATAGGCAATGAGCTAAAATGAAAATCTGAACTCACAAAGATTGGTTCCGGCTAAAATTATTTAATGGATAGATGTGTTAAATTGCATTCCCTTTGGTGGGAGACAAGAGAAGTGAGTGAACTTTTTTTTTGTCCGAAAACAATTAGTATAAAGATAAAATCTTGTGGAAAAGATTTCCTCTAAAGGATTAACAAAAAAGAATCTTAAAAGAGGTTATATATTTGGGAAAAAGTTTGCATCCTCGGACTCTTTCTTCATTTTCTCTTTATTTTATATGGTACAATTGAAACTTATGCGGTTATCCAGTCTTACGTAGTGCATTAATTGCCTTAATGCGCAACATGATGGCTTGTAAGACCGAATCTTATTCATTTGTAGCCTGCGGTCTGTGATGTGAAGGCGGAACCCAAGCCACCATCAATTCAAGTATTCTAAATGATATGACTTTAGTTGGTAGAATTAATTTTCAAGGCATTTTTGGAGCTGAAAGTCTAGATGATATAGTTTTATTATTTATTTCAAGTGGGCTTGTAAACTATGCATTCTGTGTTGTAAATAATTGTCTATTAATGAGGATACTTGAATCATTGCCAAAGTAACTGCTCTCCCGTGTAATACCGGGAAACCCATGATTTAACTCAAAGATTTAATAAACCAATACAAGAAATAACTCAAATCGAATACGCAAATGGAAAAGAAAAAAAAACTCACTGTCCCCTCCGGTACACAAATAGACAAAAAAAAAAAAAACTCACTCTCCTCTGCGGCACAGGGGCAAAGGCGGAGCTTCATCAGGATTCGGAGGATTCACAGGCCCATGGATAGGATTTATCCTCAGATCTTGAGAGACAGAACTACCGTTAGAAATCCTAAAATAAATACGAAAACTAATTTTTATAAAAACAAATAACAATTGAAACTTCAGGAGCCCCGCTGCCACCGGCTGGCATCCCGCCACCTCCTGGAGGTGCAAGAGCTGGCGCTTAGCTGGGCCTAACGTATCCCGAAGGTAAGCAGACAAGAATGGCAGCAGGCGGGACAATGGGGCAATGTCACCGGCAGCCACACCGTCGTTGTTACCGGCCGCCACGCTGTCGTTGTTATCCCTGGCCACAACACCGGCGGCAATAACGCGGAGGCCAGTAACAACAACGTGGTGGCCTGTAACAATGACAGTGTTGTGACTGATGGCAACAACGGTGTGGCACTGGTGTTGTGCCGTTGACAACAGCGCCGGGGCCGGTGACGACAGTGATGTTATCGCCGATGACGACAACGGTGCCGGAGTGACCTGTGCCAACAGTGGGGTTGTGGCCGATCACAACAGCATTGTTATCACCGGTCACACTGGTGCCGTTGTTGCCACTAGTCACAATGCCGTTGTCGTCACCGCCCACAACACCGTTGTGGTTAACGGCCAGCCCGTTGTTGTGTCCAAGCAGACCGTTGTTGCCACCACGGTTGTTGTTAACGGCCGGTGCCGTGGCCTCTGCTGCTCGTTCTCGGGGAGTCTGAGAACGTGTTCTAGCCACCTCACCGTTGTTGTTACCAACCGGTGCCGCAGCTTCTGCTTGCCGTCGTCGAGTCTGAGAACGTGTCCTGGCCATTACAGCGGTGAATGGTAGCTTTAGGCGTGCAAGTGTGCAACCTTCAGCCTGCATCGTCTTATATAGAGATAAAGACATGGACCATTGTTCCAGAAATCGGACAGGACCGGCTGGTCGGACCAGTCGGATTGGTACCCGGCACTATAAACGGGTCTGGTGAGTATTTAGAGCTGGTAACGGTTGCCACCTCGGGGTTCGAAGTTCGAACACATACTTGAGGGGATATTTTCAATTACTTTTGCCACTGG